CACGCCACTGCACTCCAGCCTGGGAGACAGTAAAATATGTAAATGGAGGAACAGAAAGGAAAGCACCTGTCGTCTTTGACTGCATTTTATGGACAGGTGAGTTCTAACCACCGGGGTAGCGTGGATGCAGCAGCCATGAGGCCGGGGTAATTTGCCTGTTTCTCTAAGACTTTGTACAAATCCATAAACAGATTTGGGAACATCAGGTTGTCCTTTCCTTGTGACAGGTAATACGGAGATGTCACAGCGTCGGTGGCCTGTCTTGCCCGTTTTTCAGGTTGTGCTGCTTGTGTTTTTTGGTTTTTGAGAAAGGGTCACTACACTCCAGGCTGGAGTGCGGTGGTGTGATCACAGCTCACTGCAATCCTGAACTCCGGGTGTCAAGCAATTCTCCCGCCACAGCCTCCTGAGTAGCCAGGACTAGAGGCGTGTTCAGCCATGCCCAGCTAATATTTTTCTTTTGTACAGATGGGGTCTCACCGTATTGCTCATGCTGGTCTCAAACTCCTGGGCTCAAGTGATCCTCCTGCCCCCCTGGACCGGGCACATGTGGGGGCTGTTTCCGGGCAGGTGCACTTCCTGTGCTCAGTCTGTGTGGCAGGGCCTGAGCTTCATCAAGTCTCCACACAGGAGGTGTTAGTCCTCCAACTTGGTTCCTGTTAAAAATCGCTTCAGCCAGTCTAGGTCCGTGGTGTTTCCACGTGAACGTTAGAATTCCTCCCCAAGCCTTCTGGTGCCTTACCTGGGACGGTGTTGAACCCAGAGCGAGCCGCAGAGCGGGCTGCAGAGCGAGCGGGGCCGCTCTTGCTGATCTCTGCCGACTCCTTGATTTCATGTTTGTTTTATTCCAGTGACCACCCTCCCCCCTCACTCACTTCAGGTTCCATTTTGTGGTAGGAGATTCCTGCAGTCCTCCTGGGCTTGCATAACAATTAAAGTCCCTGGAGTTGTCAGGCGTGGTGTGAGCTCCCTGCGCTCAAAGCTCTCATAGAACACACGTTGTCCTTTCCTTGTGACAGGTAATACGGAGATGTCAGGGGCTGGGCGAGGACCGCTGTGCCACCTCACTTGCTCAGGGGCAGGGTCACTGCAGGCCCATGCACTAGCTGTGACCCCCTGTGCCACACGTGTGTTCATGCAGCCCACGTGGGCTCAGACGTCACGTTCCTTGTCCAGGAGGTCCTTCCTGGCACCGTGTGGTCCTCACTGCAAAGCAGTTTTCAGTGCTTGCTGGATGGACGGCTTGTTGAGCTGTTTTAGATGACCAGTAGCCGAGCTCGGTGCCTTCCCAAGAGAGCATGTGTGGGCCTCGTTAGGAGCATCTCTCCAGGAGCAGAGGGGTCAGTTTTGGTCCTGTTCCCCCAGGGACTGCCCTCCCTCACCATCGCCAGCTCCGGCGCCTCCAAGGCCCTGCGGCCTATGGACTTGTCAGCGTTCTCCACCTCCCTCAGCGCCTCTGCTGAGACCTCTTCTCCCCTTTTCAGGGCTGGGTCTCTTAGCACAGCCTTGCTGCTGTGTGACGGGTGTCTGTGTGGGCCCCCGTGGTGGGTACCTAGCGACAGAGGCTCTGGGGGCAGGGCTGGATGGATGGAGCACTTCAGTGTCACAGTTGTTTTTTTTTTTAATTGAGATGGGGTTTTGCTTTTGTCGCCTAGGCTGGAATGCAGTGGCATGACCTTGGCTCACTGCAACCTCTGCCTCCTGGATTGATTCAGGCAGTTCTCCTGCCTCGGCCTCCTGAGTAGCTGGGACTATAGGTATGTGCCACCACGCCCAGCTAATTTTTGCATTTTTAGTAGAGACAGGGTTTTACCATGTTGGCCAGGCTGGTCTTGAACTCCTGACCTCAGGTGATCACCGGCTTCCCAGGTGCTGGGATGACAGGTGTGAGCCACCGCGCCCGCCTCTCACTGCCGTTCTGTAATTAGCACAGAATAACTCTGCCTGTGTGTGGGCGCGTAGTGATGTGGCGACACGTGTAACTCGTGGTGATTGGCACATCCACCATCTCAGACGGTCACCGTTTCTAAGTGTTGGGAACCTTCAGTGTTCTGCGGGCTGTTTGAAAGTGTGTATTGCTGTTGAATCGTCACCTCCGTGCTCTACGACACCAAACGTATTCCTCCAGTCAAGCTACAATTTCTAGTATTATGTCTTTTTAAAAATTATTTTTTTATAGAGAACAGGGTCTTGCTGTGCTGTCCAGACTGGTCTCAACCTCCTAGCCTCAAGTGATCCGCCTGCCTTGGCCTCCCTTGGGGTAGCAGGCGTGAGCCACTGTGCCCGGCCTGCGTCACTGTGTATTCTCCGGGTTCACTCGAGTCCTGGTGAGGGTGAGGCTCTTCTTTAGGTGGCTCAGTCTTGTTGCACAGCCATAACAGAACACCTGAGAGTAATTTTTCGTGGACAGAAATGGATCAGCTCACAGTTCTGGAGGCTGGCGAGGGCCTTCTTCCTGTGTGCTTACGTGTGGGGGGCTGGAGGCGTAGTCACCCGTTTATAATGAACTCACTCCTGGAATCATGAACCTGTCCTCAGTGACAGCATTGAGTTACTCGAGAGGGCAAAGCTTCCGTGTCGAGTCACCTTCTGAAGATGCCCCCTCTGAATTAGGCCGTGTTGGCAATTGAGTTTCAGCACACGTTTTGAAGGGACAAAGGCTGACACCACTGCAGTGACCTTGTCTCTTTCGGAGTACTGGTGCTTGTCAGACATTGACTGAGCACTGGTGTCTGGGTGCATGTGCGCCTCTGTTTGTGGGGCCATCCTGCTGCAGGTGCCAGGAAGCCGACGTCAGGGTATGTGGGGGTCTCCTTGAGAGAGTGCTGAGCCAGCAGAGGTCCTCTGGGTCACATGGGTGGGCTCAGCGGTGTCCCATGCCTCCCCTGCCCTGTCGTTGGGCTCCAAGCCTCTTCCTCAGACCAGCTTCCTACTTTGGGGCAGCTGTGCTTTCTGGAAGCTGAGCAGCTTCTTGTTCATCCTTTTTTTTTTGAGATGGAGTTTCGCCTAGGCTGGAGTGCAGTGGCACGATCCCCGCTCACTGCAACCTCTGCCTCCCAGGTTAAAGTGGTTCTCCTGCCTCAGCCTCCCGAGTAGCTGGGATGACAGGCCCCCACCACCACACCCAGCTAATGTTTTTGTATTTTTAATAGAGGCAGGGTTTCACCATGTTGGCCAGACTAGTCTCAAACTTCTAACCTCAGGTCATCCACCCCAGGCGCTCAAAGTGCTGGGATTACAGGCGTGATCTCTTGTTCATCTTTTGTGTGTAAATTCGTCTTCTGCTGTTTCTGTTGCTCAGGGATGTAAAGGAAAAGGGAACCCAATAAAGTCAGATGTCCACACTGTAGACAGGGGTTTGACATCTTCCAGGGAATCCCCCTCTGTGGCCTCAGGGCCATGCTGTGAATTCCCAAACGGGGGTCTGATCCCAATGCCTCTGGGTCCCTGTTCACTGCTTGAGTCTCTTGGGATCCCAGTGTTGACTGCCGTTCTTCGTGGCTGCCCCAACTACGGGGCGTGCGTGTGCCCAACCCACATAGCTGCGGCTGACCACGCCTCGGGCTGAGAGTGGAGCTCTCAGCCTGACCAGGCAGCGTCCACGGAGGGGACTGTGAGCGGGAGGTGTGTGTGTCACACCAGTGCCTGTGGTCTGAGAGGGCTGACCCTTGATGGACGGGATGGGCAAGTGCCCCTCCCGCACCTTCGGACACCAGGGCGGAGTGCGCCGTGTGTTCTGCGTTTGTGGTTGCGTTCAGGTGCTGCGCTGTAGGCTTGTCTGTTGTGAGGCTCCTGGGACAGCGGGAAGGGGTTGCTGTCCAGCTGGGTTGGGGCCCCCCGGGAGTGTGTGTGTGCTCCCTCCCTGGGTGCTCTGAGTTGGCTTGAGGTTAGAGAAGTGCAATGGACGGTGTGTGTGCAGCTGGAGGCCTGCCCCTGCTTCTCAGAGCATCATGGGGCCCACTGAGAAGTGGGGGTGACGGCGTCTTCCAGAAATGCGGCCGCCACAAGGAGGACTGACCTGTGCTGGAAGCTGGAGGTGCCAGGTCCCGTTGGCACCTGGTGGGTGAGGATGTCAGAAGCAGAGCCAAGGGGGTGGCGTGGAAAGAGGTTTTATGGCATCTGCTCACTCTCTTGAGGGGCCTGTCCAGCTTGGCATCTGCAGGGTGGCCTGAACCCCAGGGAAGAGTCAGTGTTGGAGGTCTGAAGAGTCCAGAGGCCGTCGGGGGGCAGGGTTCTTCCCCTCAGAGGACCCCGTCTTTTCTCTCAGTCCCTCACCTGATTGGATGGGGCCCACCCAGTCTTGACGGTCAACTGATTTACTCAGAGCTGACTGATTTAAATGTTAGTCTCATCTAAAGAAGTAACTATGCAGAAGCATCCGGAGTAATGGTTGACCAAAATCGGGCCCTGTAGGTCAGCTAAGCTGGTACATAACATCAGCCATCGTTTGGAAGCTTTGCCTTTGGAATTACTAAGCCTGGTCAGCCGTGAGCAGCCAAGCAGTCTCTGTTCTGCCCCACACACCTCTGTGGACTGACCCAGGGCACAGGTGAGCAGTGGCCGTGAGAAACGGCGGTGCTTCTCTCCTGAGGAACAGGTGGCTCCCGGCTCCCTTCTGTGTGGGGATGGCCCGGGAGCATCTCCTGTGGGTGGGGGGCAAGGGTGGGGAGAACAGCAGCAGCCAGTCCTTGGCGAAGCCGGCAGAGCCATCTCCTGCCCCAACCATTACGGGACTCAGCCCTTCTCCCCCAGCAGTGACATCAAAATAGCCTGTTGACAGGGCCGTAAAGATGATCCCAGCTGTTAATAAAAACGTCCGCTAATCAGGCAGTGAACTTTCTGCAGTTTTCTTGGGGGGGGGGGGCCCAAGGGCTCAGCTCAGGCTCCTGTGCCCTTGGCCACCATGGGCCAGTCCCGGGGGTCTTGTGGGAGCCCTCAGCACTCCAGAGGGCGAGGGTTCATCTGAGAGCCTGGGGTTCTGACTCCTTGTGTCTTTTCAGCAGTGGCGAGTCCTTTGCACATGTTAGCGACGCATGCGTCTGCATCAGCCTCCCTGCCCACAAAGCGCCAGAACGGCGACCAGCCGGAGCAGCCGGAGCTGAAGCGGATCAAGACCGAAGACGGCGAGAGCATTGTCATTGCCCTGAGTGTGGACACGCCACCGGCAGCCGTAAGGGAAAAGGGTGTCCAGAACTAGTGACCGGGAGCTTTTCTTCAACAGTATCGACTTTGTGGTGCCAAAAGGAGACATCGCCTCCCGCCAGCTCTCGGTGGGTGCAGGGCCCTGTGGTTGGACTTCACCTCTCAGCACTGAAAACACAAAACCCAGGTGGCCTTAAAACTCCTTAATTTAAAGACAGAAGTCACACTTGAACAAAAACCACACACAACAAAACCTGATTTTGGAGACAGTGTCTCCCCCACTGAGCACCTGCTGGGCCGTTGCCTTTAGGCTCATCTTTTACCTACGAGTGAAACTCTCGGTCCTCCCAGGAGGACCAGGCATCGCATGTGGGGACGGCGCAGTCAGTCCTAGGTCCTCGGGATGTGGGGGGAGCCCTCCCCACCGCCCTCACAGGACCCACCAGGCAGTAGGGACCAGGTGGTGTTCTGTTGCTCACATGTGGAGTTAGAGTATTTTGAGGTGTACTTTCTTTACAGGATCATGGGGTCTTGGGCATTTCACATCACTCCATTTCTACTCAGACTTCTGGAATCACACAGGACCTTTCAGTGGATTTCATTTGGGGAAATGACACAACGTAGCTTTTTGTTTTCAGCCTATGGAATGATTTCCTTTTGTCTGTCTTGTTAAAGTTCAGATGAAGCTACTCTGTGGCAGCTGCGCGTTTCCATGTTACAGCAGCTGCCTGATGAATTTCATCCACCTCCGTTTCAGCATGTGGCTCCCGTGGACAGGTGGACGGACGCTGTGGCCACGTGGAACCCTGAGAGCCCAGGGACAAGCTGGTGCTGGGAAGGAGCTGCCGGGACTCGCCGAGCTGCACTTAACTGTTCCCTTTTGGCCATTTTTTGTTGTTTCTTTGTGTTGACTTTGTCCCTGGCAAAATTTTCCACTCTAAGTAAAACAAGTCTCCTGAGTATTGTGTATGTTTAAAACGACAGAACCATTACTTCATTTGAAAAAAAAGATTCAGTCTTTTATCACAGGCCCTTTTGAAACTCAGATCCCAGGTCTCTCGTGGTATGTTTGTATTTTGGGTGTCCTCCCAGCTCTAGGCGCCCTCCAGCCCATCCACGGCGGAGCAGCGGCCGAGCGCGCCCTGCAGGGGACGTCTGGGCATTTCCTGATTTTCGGCAGAAAACGTCCTGACCTTTCAGAACTGAAGCCAGTCCTGAGGCTGACTCCTACAGAAGACGGAGAGAGAGGAGGGGGTGAGGGAAGGAGTGGGAGGCCCCGCGCCCCTCGCCCGGCTCCCCTTTCCCGAGTGAGCGAGGGTGCCGTGCCGGCCGAGGGCCAAGCGGTGCGCTTGGAGCAAGGGCGGCAGCCTGGTGCGAGATTTTTATTGTCATCATCGTAACATTATTTATTTAAATGTAGTTATTTTGGTATTTAATTTTTTTTAGAGAGGAAAACCGTATTTTCCTGGTGGGATGAAATGGCTCAGAATGGTATATTTAGGCAATTTAAAAGCTATTATTTACATAAAGACCAAATATGATGAATCTGTTGGGTGAATTGTGTGTGGCCCTCAGCATGGGGCTGTGACGCACGTTGAATGAAGTCACTGCACACTAGCTGGATTATAACTCGGCCGTTTCAGAAATAAAGCATCACGTGACTGAGACCGTGTGTGTGAGCGCAGCAGCCTACAGCGTGTGGAGGGCGCGACCCTTGGTGCAGCCGTCTGCATCTTCCAAGCACTTTACAGATACCTTGGAATGTATATTTTTGTCGTCTTACTCAGAGGTTTGCAGTTTGTAAGATAATTAGGATTCTGCTGTGTCCTGTGTGGGGTCAGGTCCCTCCACAGAGGGTCCAGCTCTTGGTCACAGCTGTGGGGTTCTCTGACAGGAGACCAGCTCTCGAGCAAGGTCACCCAGTGGGAGCGTGGCTTGGACACCACACGGATGCGTCGTATGTTCTGCTGGGGACGTTTTTATGCAGCTGTGTGTGGAGTCAGGTGGATTTTCCCTGTGTAAGCTCGGTCCGGGAACGGGTGACTTCTGATCCCGGAACGTGGACTTTGTAGGTTTGGATCTGGATCTGTTGGGATCACAGGTAAGGAAAATGCCCAAGTCTAAATGTTAAAGAAGTTTTCTTTTTTGCTGTAGGCAGCATTCTGCATCGGGAACGCAGGCTTGAGTGTGCCTCTCGCGGATGGGGGGCCTGTGCGCTCCCGTCTCCTCACTGCCACGTTCGCATGGCATTTTCATGGGTACGTAGGATTTAAGATCAAGGCGAGAAAGACTAGGTTAGCAGACTCCCACGCCCAGGTCTTCTTGCCAGTCTTTGAGGCACTGTTTTTACACTTTGGGCTCTGAACCCCCAGGAACTTGAGCACAGCAAGGGTCGCTGAGCTGCTGTCGCCGCAGGCCTGGCTCCAGCCCCCGGTGCTGGGGCTGCGGCACCTCAGCTGCGTCGCGGTGAACTCCCAGCTCTCCACTGTGTTCCTCCGTGTCTTGTTTTCAGGAAGTCTCTGCTTTGACCTTTGCCAAACTTCTGAGCTCCTCAGGGACTAGACTGAATTTCAGTAGCTTTGCCCTGAACCAAACGAGAAACCAACGGGGACTCACGTGTGGCCCGCGGTACGTGTGGCCCGTGGCCTGCCCTCCTCTCCCTGCAGTGGAGGGCGCCTGTGGACAGCTGGTCTCCTTCAGTCTCCTGCCCGCTCCGTCATTGTCCTCCGCTGGAATAACAGAGTAGTTGGTAGTCGTGGCCGGAAGGGGGGAGGGGGCAGTGTCAGGACTTGGGATTTCTGTGCTCTGTGACGCAAGGAGATGAGTGACAATCTTCAGGTCCTAACTCCACTATTCCGGAAGGCATAGTGGTGATTTGTGTGCAAAGGTTTGAAATTTTAAAAAAGTACCAAGTTCCTGAAATTCAATAAAATATTTTTATTAATTTTAATTGAATGCCGAGTATCATTTTCCTCCTGACAGACTTTTTCTGTTTAACTTGATGCTCTCCTCTGAGCACCTGAAGGCCGGTAGCGTCGGCCCCGCCCTCAGGCCAGCACGTTAAGTGGGTGCCCACGGAATAGGCGGTGGTCACAGGCAGTGGCGGCCGGGGTCTTGATGATTCATCTGTGATGTCAGAGTTTAGTTGCTTTGGGATTGTGTCACTACTTCATCTGCACACTTTCTCTTCAAGCTGTGGACGGAGATGACTGCCCAGCACCTGGAGAAACGTTTTCTCCTGAGATGAAAAAGCAGCTCTTCTGGAGGGGTGCTTGGGTCCTCGGAGTCCCGCACAGGAACGCCAGTCTTTCTGCTCCTGGGACTGGTGTGGACGGCGCCTGTCTGGAATCGTGAGACACTCAGGACCCACTCCAGGTAGCAGGGAGAAATCGTGCTGAGGATAGCGGCACAGAGGCCCCTTTGGGAGCTAAATGGACCTTAAATGTCATGTTCACCGACAGAGTGTCCCCTGACGCAGAGCTGTCCGTCACACGCCCTGTGAGGCTGTCCCTGCAGGACGGAGCAGTCGTCCGCTCACACCGTGTCTGCCAGGCCTGCACCTGCGTGCGCTCGTGCTGGGAAACGCACTTTGTTGCTCCCTTTCTGAGCTGTGGCCACAGCAACGAAACATTTAGAATTCAAGGTGGGTCTCAGGGGACCTCTGAGGTCTGGCTACAGAATTGCTGTTGTTTTTATTAACATCCTGTAGCAGGTCCCAGTGGGCTCCACCACCCTGTCTCTCCGAGGGGTTATGACGAGCAACTGTGGACCCAACAAACGGATCAATACCTCAGTCCTACGGAAAGTCAGGCGTGGGTCATCCTTAGCAGCGGCAGACCGAAGCCAGACCCTAACCCACAACGGGGTGTCCTGTCCCTGGCTGGGTCTAGTCTTGGACAGTCGATCAGAACCGCACACATGGGATGAACGTTAAAATGTCCAAGACATGCCCCCTTCCCCTCATTCCCCCTTCCCCCCCACCCCCCCCCCCCTCCCCCCCCCCCCCCCCTCACCCCCCCTCCCCCCCCCCCCCCCCTTCCCCCTCATCCCGGTCAGGGACAGTCACGGGAACCTTCTGCAGACACTGAGTCCCCCCCCACAACAGAACCCTTCACTCTGACAGGAATTGGAGACCAGGGCACCTGTGGTCCAAACAGCGTGAGGGAAGTCCCTGCTCCACTTTGGCCCCAAGCTGCGCTTAGTCACAGGAATGGGAACAGCAGAGAGGCTAAAACCTGGGCCTCTAATCAAAGGACACAGCAAAGGAATTAGAGGGCCCCTAAGGCTCACAGGAACGGCCGGGGAAGACAGCAGAGGCCCTGTGAGCTGAACTCCCGTGTAGACCGGCCCCTGGGTGGTGATGCCAGGTGTAGACCTGAATGGCAAAACGCAGACGGGAAACCAGGCATGCAGAACCACAGCCCAGGAGGGGGCTGGCCCATGCAGTCAGAACATAACCCGGTTACCTGCCTGCCAAGACAACTCAACATTCTGCAGAGGATCTCACAGGACTCGGGTTCGTCTCAAGGTAGGCCGAATGCCTAGGGCACAAAATAAACATAAAAAGAGCCAGAAAACTCTCGACCCTCAAGGGAAAGGCCGCCTGTCAACCCTCACGTCACCCAGATGCTGGAAGCATCAGACGAAGAACAGTTACTAGAGCCATGCTCTGAAATAACAGCAGATGCCCTTGAACCAAACAAATGAAAAAATTCAGTAAATAGAAAAACATCGGGAAACAAAAATGAACTGGGACTTGCAGGACAAGATCAAACAGTCTGGTGTGTATGTCACTAGAGTCCTAGAAAATGGAGCAAGGTGTGTAAACTTTTTTTTTTAAGAAATATTTTAGGTCAGGCCCAGTGGCTCACACCTGTAATCCCAGCACCAAGGTGGGTGGATCACTGAGGTCAGGAGTTCGAGACCAGCCTGGCCAACACGGAGAAACCCCGTCTCTACTAAAAATACAAAAACTAGCCAGGTGCAGTGGCGTGCATCTGTGATCCCTGCTGCTCAGGAGGCTGAGGCAGGAGAATCGCTTGAACCCGGGAGGCAGAGGTTGCGGTGAGCAGAGACCTCACCATTGCACTCCAGCCTGGCTGACAAGAGTGAGACTCTAACTCAAAAAAAAAAAAAAAAAAACATACAAAGGAACAGGAAACCATGAGGCCGGGGCAGGGGACATGTGCACAGAGGCCATCCTTGAAGAAGCCGGGAAATTGTACTAGACAACAATTGTCTGAAATATGCTTGAGCTGAGGGGAACCGGGGACAAAGAACTAAAGAAGGCCAGGTGTGGTGGCTCGTGCCTACGGGGTCAGCACTTTGGGAGGCCAAAGTGGGGGCAGAGCTTGAGCCCAGAGCTCATAGCCAGGCTGGGCAACACAGTGGGACTCTGTCCCAAAAAAAAGTTAGCTGGCGCGTGTCTGGGTCCCAGCGCCTCCGAAGGTTCAGGTGGGAGACTGCGCGAACCTGGGAAGTTAGGGCTTCAGTTCACCGTGATCACACCGCCGCAATTTAGCCTGAACAACAGAGCAGGACGCTGTCCCTCCCCCGCCCCAAAAGGAAAGAAATACAAATGGTGTATGAAAAAGTTGAAAGAACGGAAAATAGAAATTGTAACAAGAAACTAAACAGTAGCTAGGGCTGAAAAGCAAAATAGCTAAAATAAGAAATTCACCAGAGGCATCAGAAAGCAGCCGTGGACGGGAAGGTAGGGTCCATGAAATCACCCCGTCTAAGCAACAGACAGAAAAGAAAAGCGGGGGAAGAGTCAAGAGGAGGGACCTACGGGACCATCAACCTGTCAAAACCGGCCTTGGGAGAACTCCCCGAAGCCGAGGAAGAGGAAACAGTGGAGCAAACCGCCACTGCGAACTTCCCTGATCCGATAGAGACATGAATCTACAATCCAACACGCGCAACGAAACCCAAGCAGGAAAAGCGCAGAGACCCAGAGCTGAGTGAACACAACACGACACCTAAAAACGGGAAGCCTTTCCTTCAAGGTCAGGACAGGACGCCAGGACCTACCTTCCGCTGCTGCTCGTCTGCGTTGTACAGAAGTCATCCAGAGCGATCCGGCGAGAAAGGCCTCAGACCCTCCTTGCAGATGGAATGAGTATGTATAGAAACTTCCGTAGAAACACACCCAAACTACGAGCGCTGACAAATGAATGCAGCCGTGCTGCAGTGTACAAGATCAAGATAAAAATACACTGTATTTATATGCACCAGCAATAAACAATCAAAAAGGAAGGTAAGGCCAGGCATGGTGGTTCACACATGTAACCCCAACACTTCGGGAGGGCGAGGCAGGAGGACCCCTTCCATCCAGGAGTTTGAGACCAAGCAGGGCAACAAAGGGAGACCCCCTTCTCCAAAACAAAATTAAAGATCAGACAGACAGGCCAAGTGCGGCGGCTCACGCCCGTCATCCCAGCACTTGGGGAGGCCGAGGCGGGCAGATCACCTGAGCTCAGGAGTTTGAGACCAGCCTGGCCAACATGGCGAAACCCCATCTCTACTAAAAGTACACGAGAATCGCTTGAACCCGGGAGGCGGAGGTTGCAGTGAGCCGAGGTTGAGCCACTGCGCTCCAGCCTGGGAGACAAAGCGAGACTCTCTCAAAGAAACAAACAAAAAAACGTGAAGAAATTAGCCAGGTCTGTGGTCCTCGCTGTTTGGGAAACTGAAGAAGGATCACTTGAGCCCGGGGGTGGAGGCGGCAGCGAGCCTTGATTGCACCACGGCACTCCAGCCTGGGAGACAGGGCCGAACAAAGAGCAAATGAAAGCATGGCCGCACGTGGTGGCTCACGCCTGTGATCCCAACATTTTGGGAGGCTGGGGCAGGAGGACTGCTTCGGGCCAGCCTGGAGAACACGGATAGATGCCATCTCTACAGAAAAATCGGCTGGGTGTGGTGGCGCATGCCTTTCGTCCCAGCTACGTGGGGAGCTGAGGTCGGAGGATCACTGGAGCCCAGGAGACGGAGGGTGCCGTGAGCTGAGGTTGCGCCCCTGCACCCCCGCCTGGGCGACAGAAAGAAGAAAGGACAGGCAGCTGTCAGTACAAGCCGACGATGGTAAATAACGTGCGGCGTGAAGTTCAGCCCTGTGCAAGCACTGAAACAGGTAGAAAAATGCGGCCGTTTTCTGGAGTCAGCAAGACACCCTCTTCTGCAGCATCTGGCCAGCTCCTTGACCATTTTTTCCCATGTGCCCACAAGGGACTGGGAGATAAGGAGTCGCCGTCAGTCGCACACCCCGGAAGCATCAGACTCACCGTCTGCAGCGTCTTACACGATGACAGGACTCTGCCTGGCTGGCAGCCAGCACGGACAGTTCAGGATGGCGCTGCCGGTGTCTGCGGGAGGCTCAGAGCAGACGCCGGGCGAGTCACGGCCTCTGCGGACGGTGGCGTTTCTCTTGAACAGAGCTGTAAAAGAAATCACATTTCACTACTTGCCGCCTCAATCTCAACGCTACATTTGCTTTTGTTAAAACACATTGTATGTCTCCATTTTGGTGGATGTTGCGTAAGACAAATCATTTTAAAATTAATGCCAAAACCACAACATTACTAACCTGATCCGTAATTCCATAATGCAGCAAGGAGACTACAAGAAAATAAAATTACACATCAGAATCCCTTATAAATATACACACAGGCCGGGCACGGTGGCTCACGCCTGTCATCCCAGCACTTTGGGAGGCCCAGGTGGGTGGATCACCTGAGGTCAGGAGTTCGAGACCAGCCTGGCTAACATGGTGAAACCCCATCTCTTAAAAAACAAAAAGATAAATATACACGCAAAAAAAAAATGCCCAAATAGTAGTGGAATTCAGCAGTATTTAAGGGTAACACCACACGGGCTTTCCTGCAGGACAGCAAGATTGGCTGAACATTCACAAATCAATGTGACGTCCCACATTAACAGACAGGCAAGTGTGATCATTGTAACAGATGCAGCAAAGTCACCTCACAAAGTGCAACAGCCATTCCTGGAGGCAAGACCTGCACCGTCAGCCCCAAAGGGCGTGTTTGCTTCTTTCTCTGGCCCCCGTCCTGCCCAGCCCTGCCCTGCAGTGACTTCAGTCTCAGTAACTGCCTACAACAAAAAGCCCACATTCCTCAGATGTGCAGACTCCGTGTCTACCACGTACCATCTGCAGTGCTCCCTGTGCCACCCATAGTTACCAGACACACAGGGAGGCAAGCGTGTCCCCACCCCGAATAAAGGAACATCAGAAGACATCCTGCGAGAAGACCCAGACGCTGGAATTAGCAGATGAGGATTTTAATACACGTAGAGTCCTACAGATGGGCAGATGCTCATCATTAGCCATAAATTAGAAACCAGCTTTACAACTAACAGAAGCTGGCCGGGCTCGGTGGCTCACGCCTGTAACCCCAGCACTCTGGGAGAATGAATGAGGCGGGTGGATCACCTGAGGTCGGGAGTTGTTGAGAACAGCCTGACCAACATGGAGAAACCCTGTATCTTCTAAAAACACAAAAATTAGCCAGGCGTGGTGGCGCATGGGAGGCTGAGGCGGGAGAATCGCTTGAACTCAGGAGGGGAAGGTTGCAGTGAGCCAGGATGCGCCACTGCGCTCCAGCTGGGCAGCAAGGGCACAACTCTGTCTCAAAAAAAACCAAAAAACTGACAAATACATCTGAAATAAAAAATGCAGCCAGGCATGGAGGCTCAGGCCCGTAATCCCAGCACTTTGGGAGGCCGAGGCAGGAGGCAGAGGAGAAACCCCGCCTCTACCAAAAAAAAAATTTAGGTAAAAATAAATTTTACATTCAGGTGTGGGGCTGTCCAAGAGTGACCTTCTCTGGACGTGGAAACACAGGGCAATTTTGCTTACAACTTCATATTTTTCTATATGTTCTTTATTTTATAGGGAATATTTTGTTTTTGCTTATTTTTTAAAATTGTTTGCTTCTCTGCACTAGCAATGTTTTTTCACTGTATTTTCTGATCCATCTGGAAGAGAAAGATTTTGGTGCAAGTTTCAGACATGTAACCAACCAATTGCCTGACACAACAGACAAGAGATGAGGGCCGAGTCACGTGAAACGGTTGCAGGAAGAAAACACAGCACCCGACTACAGTGGCGGTCGCGGGGAGGGGCCCGGGGTTCACACAGGCGTCACCGTCAAACCCAGGGTGGGTGTGGGTTCCACAAGCAGACGACGTCCCAGGGCCGTGGGGGAGGGCAGGCAGACCAGACACGCAGCCGGAATCATCCACGCCCATGCACCTGTATCATCAGACGGGAAAGCTGCTGAGCAGGCACCGTCTGAGGCAGTGGCTGGAGAAACAAGCCACCCGGCAGGGGCTTCTGCAGCCCCTCCACCCCCGTGTCCTGGGCACGGGAGGTTCGTGGGGGAGGCAGCAGCCTGGCCTTGTTTCCCATGCACCACGCTTCCCATGAGCTCCATTTGGAAAGCAGCCTGCTGCTCCCACAGTCCCCAGCGCTGAGACACCGAGTCCTTCCCACTCTGTGGTGACTTTACAAAGCACACACCTGGGGAGGGGCCGTGGTGCCAGGGCCTCACGGGAGGCACGTCCTTGCAGGCCCTCACCGCATTCCTAAAGAAGGGGCCTGTGACAGAAGAACCTGTGACTGCCCCGCCCCCACGGCGCGCATCAGTTCTGAGAACGCTCATGTGCACCGAGGAAACCCACGTTACAAACCGGTAATCACACAACTGTGCGGGACCTCCTCCTCCCCCACACAGAGAAGTCAAAGGTGACCCCGGCTCAGCAGAGACCCCGGCACACAGCAGCGGCCACGTCACACGCAGGGACCCCGGCACACAGCAGCGGCCACGTCACACGCAGGGATATGGTGCTGCCAGCAGTCACTCTCCACTCTGCTGCAGACACACGTCCTCCTTCCCTCCTCCAGAAGCGCCATCCCTGACACAGCAAGGGAAGCCCTCGGCTCGGCCCGCAGTGGCCCTGGCTTCCACCTCGTCCTTCCACAGGCTGTTCTGAAGCCTGTGGTCCAACCAGATTCTCAAAACAGGACGACTATGTGGCTGCATCATACATACGACTCCACTTCCCATGACAGGGCCAGAGTACAACAAAATTAGTCACTTTTATTTAAAAGAAACATTACAAATAAGTGTGCAAAATTAAACTTCATGATTAAATACACATAAAAGTAACATGCATACTTTACATCAAAATCCACATACAAAGTTAGTTGATTACATGACAGTAACAATAAAGCAACCGGCAAACCGAGAACTTGCTGCTGTGCAGGTTTTATATGTTTGCAATCTGAAATCAAAACCATAAAATAAAGTTTCTTTAAAGGGAATTTAAGAAAAGTAAATATATACCCCAAGTAGCGGACAATGTAGAGCCCATAACCTGTTTTAGTTACCAGATGTTAAAAAGAAGCTCTGTGCCTTTCCTTCCCAAAATGTTAGTGTGTGGCTATTCTCATAAATGAGGGGAGGGGAGATGGTGGGGCTGAGAGACCAGACGACCCCGAAGTTCAAGGATGCTTTCCCCGTAACGAACGTTCAAAGTCTGTGCGTCACCGTTCCCTACACGTAACTGGGAAACATTTCACCCAGAATGTAACCAGGACACCCCCCTGCGGAGTCCCCATCCCACACGCGCCCCAGGACTGACTGCTCGGCGTCTAGGGTGGGCCTGGTGTTTGCCTCGTTCTAATGGCGCCAACAGAGACGGGGACGCCACACACAGCCACAGATGACCACGCTGCGGCAGGGAGAAGACCACGGGCTGGGCTCGCACGAGGGAAACATTCACACCGTGTTCTCTCTACAGGTCATTTTTCATGTCCGACGGGAGAAGGAATTCTCCTTTTCTAAGGCAAGCTGCTGGTGTTCTATTTAAATCTGCTGACAATGTAAGAACTTACATTTACACACTTGTTCACTCCCCACAGCAGACTCAGAATGATGGAATCTGTTGCAAAAACACACTTGAACTTGTCCTCCCTCGGCCCAGTCCCCAGGTCTGTGTGGAGCCCCCGTCAGGTGAGGATGTGGTGGAGCTGCTGAAGCGAACGTCACAGCTGAACTCATGGGAGCAGCCACTGAGTACCTACGGTGCCTTGACGACGATTCTCTCTTTAATACTGGAAATGGGAGTCCTCAGGAAAGCAGACAACCACGTATGGCTTCAAGACCAAGTCCCTGGGCAGCCCCTCCAGCCCGTGGCCCAGGAGGCCCCTGGGGCGCTGGCACCAGCCCCGAGAGCCTGAAGGTGACAGGCGGTGGGTGCTGTGGCGCTCCCGGCCAGGAGTCACAGCTTGTCATCGGTCATTTCTAGAAACTGCGCGTAGACGTCTCGGATGCACTCCCCCTTGGGGTTGAACAGGAATTTGTAGTAGCTGCCGTCCGCGCAGATCGCTGGGACAGAAGGAGACAGCTTTACCCGTGTGTTTCTTTCCCCAAAGTTAAAAGCAAAGAGTCCCATGGAGCTGAACTGCAAAGCGCCTCTCAGAGCCAAGCAGCTGCTCTCAAAGCCCCAAAGGCCCCAGCTCTGCGCTGAGAGCACGCGGCACATGCAGCCGGGAGCCCTGACTGTCTCCTAGTGCTGGCTACGGGATAACAAACATTCTTTGGTCGTCTGTACAAACATTAGAAGCCCTGTCCCAGTGACTTCCTGGGGAAACTGGAGGGAGGGGGGCTAATGACATCCCAAATGGCCGTGTAGACCGTAAGCAGGACACACTGAGCCCCGAGGAGAAGTAAGGGCACCTGGGTGGTCATGGGTGCCACAGCGTGGTGGTGGGACGTCTGTGGGAAGCTGGGTCAGAAGCTCAGTGGATGGATCCCAGGTGGAGTGGGCGGGGATGTTCTCTCCAGGAAGGACCACTCACCAATGACGGCGTTTGGCTCTGTTCCAAAGGCACAAATGCACGGAGAGCCCGAGGGAACCTGAAACTTGGAGAAACTCCATTTGGAACTGAAGTATTTTGGAAGGAAACTCGCTGAGGCCAAACTGTGAAGACAAAGAAGCAAAGAAAGGGTGACTGCATCCACAAAAAGTTTACAGAAAGTCACCTGCTTGAACTGAGAATGCCACTGAAAATATTAAAATCCTCTTTAATATAGTTTTAGCTTTAATGACTTTTTTTTGCTATGCATAACAAAACCTGTTGTAAGATTTTATTTTTAAATTGTGTTTTTGCTTTTAATCTTTTTTTTTTTTTTGAGACGGAGTCTTGCTCTGTCACCCAGGCTGGAGTGCAGCAGTGCGATCTCGGCTCACTGCAACCCCCGCCTCCTGGGTTCAAGCGATTCTCCTGCCTCCGTCTCCTGAGTAGCTGGGACTACAGGCGCCCGCCACCATGCTCAGTTTATTTTTTGTATTTTTAATAGAAACAGGGCTTCATCATGCTGGCCAGGCTGGTATCAAAGTCCTGACCTCAGGTGATCCTCCCACCTTGGCCACCCAAAGTGCTAGGATCACAGGTGTGAGCCACTGTGGCCTGCACTGATTTTTGAACCTCAATAAATATCAAATTACATGAAAAAGACTTCAACACTGATAGCATGTGAGGTCTATCCACACCGCCCTGCTGACCTGGGGGGTCTGTCCACACTGCCCTGATGGCACAGGGAAGTCTGTCCTGTCCACACTGAAACAACGGGGACTCCTTTCATCCTTGGGCTTTTCCCCCCAGCAGGCGTCCCAATACCTACCTGGACTGTTTATTCCTTTTTGGATCTTCAGCTGCAAAAATGTGCACTGTGCCGTGGTCGCTGGATACGCAGATGAGGGACGCATCCTGATTGAAGTTAATGCTACAGAGAAAACCAGCACAGCTCAGGCCTCGAGTGGATGTGGGGGAGTCCAGAGGCTCGACCCACAGCACTTGTCAGCACCCGGGAAGTCCTCAAGGTTCCCACACCAGAGGTGGCAACCTTGAATACTGCCCCTTCTTCAACAAGCCAACACCTATCCCCACGGCACCACAGGTCAAAGCCACAAAGCACGATCCAGTGAGCCACGGGCCCCACAAATGCAGCTGACGAGCTGTGTGCCTGGGAGAAGGAAGGGGCATCCTGCAGACCACCCCCAACATGCTGCTCAGGGCTGCTCTCACCAGACTCGGGTGAGAAACACATTCTCTCCAACGATCCTGGCCCCAGGAGGTACAGGCTGCCCCTGTGGAGGTCACCTGGGCTGGGGCAGGCACTGGCCATGTGCTGTCTGTTCTGGGAGCAGACAAGGGTGTGCTCTGCATGCCACAAGGCCCAGGACCTCACTGGTAAAGCCACTGTATTTACAAATGAATTACATTTTCATCCCAAAGACCTAAATTCTACTCAATACTAGGGAAGGGAGCGATACCAGGCCTCCCGGCCATGGCCACAGGGCATGAGACCCTGCCCAAGCAGGGCTTCGGCACTAGACCCCCCAGAGGCTGTAGGGACACCACCGTGGGGTGGCAGTGTGGCCTCTCAGACTGCAACAGGCTGGAACCAGACGAACCAATAGAGTCTCCAGCACTTCCTTCAACACAAGCCAGAGTGCTGGTGAAGAGGTGAAACTGGCAAAAACACCAGAAAGACGAAAAATAAACAGGGATGAACCCGAGCCTGCCAGCCAGGGCGGCGTGAGACCCCTCTCTACAAAAACACGACAATTAGCCAGGCGAGGTGATGAACCTGAGCCTGCCGGCCAGGGCAACATGACACCCCTCTCTACAAAAACACGACAATTAGCCAGGCGAGGTGGTGCACAAGTGCGGCTCCAGCTACTCAGGAGGTCGAGGCTGTAGTGAGCCGTGATAACACCACTGTGCTCCAGCCTGGGCGGCAGAGCAAGACCTTGACTCAAAAAACAAACAAACAAACAAAAAACAAAACAAAAACCTCAAAACAAAAAAAAACCCAGCAGAAACCAGCAAATACTGATACTGATAAACACGGAAGCAGGGTTAATTATAATATTCTACTTTTGTGTAATTTCCCATGATAAAAACTTAAAATTAGTCACAATTTAAAAAGCTGGAACACGGCCGGGCACGGTGGCTCAAGCCTGTAATCCCAGCACTGTGGGAGGCCTAGGCGGGAGGATCACGAGGTCAAGAGATCGAGACCATCCTGGTCAACATGGTGAAACCCCATCTCTACTAAAAATGCAAAAAATTAGCTGGGCATGGTGGCGCGTGCCTGTAATCCCAGCTGCTCAGGAGGCTGAGGCAGGAGAATTGCCTGAACCCAGGAGGCGGAGGTTGCGGTGAGCCGAGACCGCGCCATTGCATTCCAGCCTGGGTAACAAGAGTGAAACTCCATCTAAAAAAAAAATAAATAAATAAAAATAAAAATAAAAAGCTGGAACCCAGCCCCTGAGCAGCCCGACAGCCTTCCTCCTCTGGTCTTACGGGGTAGAGGGTGGCTGCTCCTACCCGCTCTCCCAAGTCCCAAAGGCCCAGTTCCGTGCTGTCTGCCCAAAGCTCTTCACCAGGTGAAGGTGGGGGTGCCCTTACCAGTATATATTGGCTGCTTGAGATCCTCTTCGCAGTTCCTGGATTAAATGCCCTGATGAAGTATCAAATATTCTTATAAGGGTCCCCTTTGAAAAACAGTGAAGTGTTTCATTATCAAAGATTTGAAACTTTTTTGTTAGTTTTGAAATGATTTACATTCACAAACCCATTAGCCCACACAAGCCTTTCTCAAACTCACCCACATCATCTAAGACTAACTTTCTCCTCCAACCGCCAGTACACGGCGAGCCCCTGAGAACGAGCTGGCCGGCAGCTCCTGCTCCCACAGCACTGGGCACAGGTCAAGAGAGGCTTCAGGAGACAAGCTCCTGGCCAGGCAGCATGGACCGATTCTGGACGCTGGCATCCCTGGCTGACACCCAGGAGGAACACCCAGGCTCCCTGCTCCCGCCGCACATGGCCCTCGTCAAGAGAAGCATCCTCCGAACCCTAACTCCCTCAGATAGCTAGGAAAAGCAGCACAGGAATCCTGCCGTCAAAAAGGTAAGGCAAAAGAAAATAAAGGACTTAAACCATTTGTGTCAACTACACTGGCTTTCCCGAGAGAGGTGTCCAAGACCTCATGGGGGTGTTTTCAACATTTCCTCCAAAAGGTGGAGGACTCTCCAGCTGATTCTGACAGCTGGGAAAACGAACACTGTTGCATCTTTGGTGGAACACTCTTTGACAACATCTGACAAAAAATCTCCACGTCCTTCAACCCAGCAGCCCTACTCCTGGGGGTGCAGCAGGGAGCCCAGCTTGTGGGGACAAGGCGGGAGCAGCCTCATGGGGTGACCGCCGACAGCGTGGGACAGGTCACAGATACTGCGAGGCTCCGGGTAATCCCATCCCCCCAGTTATCCCGGAGGGCACTGCTGAGCAAAGAAGGCAGGAAGCGGAGAAGCACACCATGATCCGTGCTCCTAATGGGGATTCTACTAAAGAAGAAAAAGTTGCAGGGAGGTGGAGAAGGAGAACACAAAGGCAAAAAGGGTAAGAAAAAAATGTACAAAAATATGGAGTAATCGTATTTATAATCCATACAAAATTATATATATTTTGTTGCTAATACAATAGCATTGTAAAAAATATTACCTAAAAAATAATTAACCCTGTTCTCAGCTAAGTCCCAGGAGTGAGCAGGACATGCACCCCAAGCCGCTTGTCCCCACATGTGGAGAAGTGGCCCTGGCGTTGGCACCGGGTGAAAGGGCTGGAGCAGGCCCCCACCCCAAGTGTCAGCAGAACATGCCCACAAATGTGCACCGCCACCGCCTTGTGGTCCCACCTTACTTCACAGTTGATCATTTCCTACAAAGTAACAGTGGGCTTGCAGTCTTCCATGAAAACTATAGTCAAAGACACCAATTTTCTTTGTAAAAATCTGAATTCGGGCAAAAGGAAGTATTAAAAACCCCAGATTTAAAATTATTTTTTTAAAACTAACAGCTGTCCTTATCTGGCAAATTAAGATAATGTGTCCAATATTTCCATATTTTCAGTTACAATCTGGTGGCAATTCATTGAAGACCTAACCCTAGGCAGGTGAAAAGGGTCTGCAGCTGTCTGTTCCAACACGATCAAGCTTTCGCATCTGATTATTCTAATGATAAGAAACTCGGGCGTGTATGTATTTTTTTTCTTTTGTTTTTGAGACGGAGTCTCGCTCCGTCACCCGGGCCGGAGTGCAGCGGCACAATCTCAGCTCATTGCAACCTCCACCTCCTGGGTTCAAGTGATTCTGCTGCCTCAGCCTTCCGAGTAGCTGGGATTAAAGGTGAAAACCACCACCACGCTGACCTAATTTTTTGTATTTTTAGTAGAGACAGGATTTCACCATGTTGGCCAGGCTGTTCTTGAATTCCTGACCTCAAGTGATCTGCCTGCCTTAGTGCTGGGATTACAGACGTCTTGTGTTTTGGTTTTTCAAATAATTTATCATATTTTACAAGACGTTTGTTTGTGAACAACTGGAAATAAAACCAGTCCCTTGGCACGAGACAACTTGTGAAGACCTCGACCCCTCTGTGACATGACCAGCCAGGTCCACGGACCCCTGAGGAGCTCCAGGCTCGGGTGGGCCCACCACCTTTGGGTCTTGATACAGGGAATGGCCAGGAGGCAAGACACCAACAAGGTGAGGAGCACACTTACTTTCTCAGATGCAGTTGCAATTCTTGTTCCCTGCAGGTTGAGTGCGATGCAGCTCAGGACACCCTCATGTGCGGGAATGTCCACGGGTGGCTTCTCCGTGCTGGCCAGGTCCACAAGCTGCACATGGCCCGTGTGCGTGCCCGGGAAGGCCAGAAGGGAGTTGTTACTATTGGGACAGAGGACACAGAGGCCTGCATGGAGACAGAGGACACTTATCAGGAACTGCCTTTGATTTCTCACAGCCAAAATCCACTTTCTGCCCCCAAGTTCCCCGGAAAAAATAGCAGTAAGAATTAAACGTGGGTTTTCATTTACATCAGAACCACAAAGTCAATTTGAAGACTTTTCAGCCAGGCATGGTGGCTCACGCCTGTAATCCCAGCAATTTGGGAGGCCGAGGTGGGCGGATCACAAGGTCAAGAAATCAACCCCATCTCTATTAAAAATACAAAAATTGGCCGGGCGCGGTGGCTCAAGCCTGTAATCCCAGCACTTTGGGAGGCAGAGGCGGGTGGATCACGAGGTCAAGAGATCGAGACCATCCTGGTCAACATGGTGAAACCCCGTCTCTACTAAAAATATAAAAAATCAGCTGGGCATGGTGGCACGTGCCTGTAATCCCAGCTACTCAGGAGGCTGAGGCAGGAGAATTGCCTGAACCCAGGAGGCGGAGGTTGCGGTGAGCCGAGATCGCGCCATTGCACTCCAGCCTGGGTAACAAGAGCGAAACTCCGTCTCAAAAAAAAAAAAAAATACAAAAATTAGCTGGGCATGGTGTTGCTCCCCTGTGGTCCCAGCTACTCGGGAGGCTGAGGCAGGAGAATTGCCTAAACCCGGGAGGAGGAGGTTGTAGTGAGCCGAGATCCCGCCACCGCACTCCAGCCTGGCGCCTATAAATATCTAACTCATCTACAGAGTCAGTGTGATCACGGCTAACATCTCAGCAAGATTCCTGGAGAAAGACAGCTGATATTAAGAGTTATAAGGGGAAAAAAAAAGGCACTAGAATAGCTCACATTTTTTTTTTTTTTTTTTAGTAAGAATGAGATTGGAAGACTTATATTACCTAATTTCAGATTTACTTTAAACCTCTCATCAAGGCAGAATGGTATTGGCATAAGGACAGAAACACAGATCAAGGGAACAAAGAGTCCAGAAAAAAACTTACATTTATTTAATCTAAACAAAGGTACCAAAGTTAGATGTCCACAAAGAAAACGACCCAGGCTTGTACCTCACACTGAATATAAAATTTACTTGAAATGGATCGAAGACTTAGTTTTAGGTGTAAAGCTACTAAATGTGTAGAAGAAAACATCAAAGACATCTTTTAACCAATATTTGCAAAAGTGTGCCAAGTAAAGGGCTAAATCTACAATAAATAAAGATTCCTGCGGCCAGGTGCAGTGGCTCATCCCTGTAATCCCAGCACTTTGTGAGGCCAAGGCAGTCGAATCACCTGAGGTCAGGAGTTTGAGACCAGCCTGGCCAACATAATGAAACCCCATCTCTACTAAAAATACAAAAATTAGCTGGACATGGTGGCGGGCACCTGTAATCCCAGCTACTCAGGAGGCTGAGGCAGGAGAATCGCTTGAACCCAAGAGGCTGCAGTTGTAGGGAGTTGGAGTAGCCCCCCACCCCCCTGGGGGGATCGGCAGCAAGGCCGCTGTGACCTTTGGGTGAACTCCAGAAAAGTGAAACCATAACAGGAGGATGTGTATGTCTCGGCGTAGAAGAGAGATGGGCTTAGAGAGAGAGAACCAGCTTTCACTGACCTTGCTGCAAGATAGTTTTTAGCTAAAGTGTGTTAACTGAGGTATGAGAATAATAGCCACAGGCTGCCCTAAGTAACTGCACCTCCCTCTGCTACGTGCTTTGTGAACATGTCAAGTTCACTGAGACTGGTCGAGGTCAAGAGACTGACTCACCTCGCAGACCGCCGGGCCCGGCTTTCCCCACGTCTGTGTCTGTGCCTTTCTTTATCCCCCACCGTTCCCTCTTAAGTCTTTGAACCCTCATGCAGCGCAGGACACAGCACACGCCAGATGCGTCACTGCACTCCAGTCTGGGCGACAGAGGGAGACTCCATCTCCAAAAAAAGAGAATTCTTACATCCCAGGATAAGATAAACCACCAGCTAAAAACTGGGTAACACTTGGGGCATTTACCAAAAGATCTCAAAAGGCAAGAACCACAAGGAAAGGCACTGCCACCACCAGTCCTCAGAGAAACGCAAACTAAAACCACAAGGAGATACTGTTACCAGTGAGACATCATCACACATGCACGGGCGGCCACAGCTAGAAAGAGTGACAGTGCCGGAACACTCATAAACCATGGATGAGACGCAAGAGGACACAGCCACTCTGGAAAACAAATGGCAGCATTTCACAGGTAGGCACAACCACAGCATGAGCCGGCAGCTGAATCCCTCAGGATCAACGCAAGGGAAATGAAAACCATCCAAAGGCCAGTATGGGAACATGCATGGCACTTCTTATTCATAATAGCCAACACACACACACACACACACACACACACACACACACACACTCACACACGAAGAAACAAACCTTGAGAGCCGAGCGGGGAGGGGACTATCTCAAGAACATTTCCCAGGATATGAGACTGGTTTTTTTCTTTTTTTGAGATGGAGTCCCACTCTGTCGCCCAGGCTGGAGTGCAGTGGTGCGATCTCAGCTCACTGCAACCTCTGCCTCCTGGGTTCAAGCGATTCTCCTGCCTCAGCCTCCTGAGTAACCAGCACGACAGGCTAATTTTTTGTATTTGTAGTAGAGACGGGGTTTCAGCATGTTAATGAGGGTGGTCTCAATCTCCCCACCTTGTGATCCGCCCAAAGTGCAAAGTGCTGGGATTACAGGTGTGAGCCACCGCAACTGACCTCTGTTTTTTTTTTTTGTCTTTTTTTTTTTTTTTTTTTTTGGAGACAGATTCTTGCTTCGTCGTCCAGGCTGGAGTACAATGGCGTGATCTCGGCTCACTGCAACCTCCACCTCCCAGGTTCAAGTGATTCTCCTGCCTCAGCCTCCCGAGTAGCTGGGATTGGTACCTGCTACCATGTTCATCTAATTTTTTGCATTTTTAGTAGAGATGGAGCTTCACTATGTTAACCAGACTGGTCTCAAACTCCTGACCTCAAGATCTATCCACCTTGGCTTCCCAAAGTGCTGGGATTACAGGCGTGAGCCACCACTCCCAGCCACAAATGGTATTCTTAAAATGAGTGAGTTTTATGTAAATTATACCCCAACAAATCCAGGGCAAAACCCCTAAATTTAAAAAGATACAAAGATAGTACAATCAATGAAAAAGTCAGACACAAACAATCCTCCAATTCAGAAGACAAGGGAAGGAAATTCTTGAGTCTAGAACTCAGCGGCTCCTAACGTGGTAAAAACATAGGTTCCTGGTTCACTGTGGAGGTCCTTAGTGGCCAAAATCAGGGGGTGGGAGGGAACAGGTGACAGAATTTCCCCCGATTGAGAGCCCCCACTCTGTGACTCTGGTCAGAAGGTGGCTTTAGGATGGTGAGCTGCGGGCCCTGAAAACCCATCCCCCTGGAGGCCCCCTGTGCTTAGGACTGCTCTCGCCAAGCCCGCTGCTCAGAGACCCACTCGGAGAAGGAAACGCCCGGGACAGGCCGCATCTCCACACGGACCCATTTCCCACGGCCACCCGTCTGCTCAAGTTCTCACCTTTGGGGTTATAGCAGGTTTCAAACACGTGCAACTGATGGGGATTGTGTGTAAATGTGAACACCTTAATCATGGAGTCCAAAACCACCACAATTCTGGAAAGAAAAACATGATCAGAGTTCTCTTCCTCAAAAGTCAGATCCAGACATTTCAAGCTCCTGCTCTTATCATACTGAAACTGAGAAACACGGAAATACCATGTAGAAAAGGATCATTCCTGAGGAAAAACCCCTGGGGGCAAGTCACAGCACGCTTGGAGGTGAGTGCACATGGAGGGAGGTCAGCCTAAGGGACCTCGCTGGGTTCACACAGACATCATCAAACATTCCATCTAGGTTCGCAACTGAGCAAAACGTGGCAGAAGTGATATTTTTATGCTACTGTGTCTGGAAAAATAAGAAAGGTCTCAAAGCAGAAGATCCTAGAGGCATTTTTTTTTTTTTTTGAGATGGAATCTCGCTCTGTCACCCAGGCTGGAGTGCAGTGGTGCGATCTCAGCTCACTGCAACCTCCACCTCCCGGGTTCAAGCAATTCTCCTCAGCCTCCCAAGTAGCTGGGACTACAGGCGTGCACAACCATGCCCGGCTAATTTTGTATTTTTAGTAGAGACAGGGTTTCCCTATATTGGTCAGGCTGGTCTCGAACTCCTGACCTCATGATCCGCCCGCCTCAGCCTCCCATAGTGCTGGGATTACAGGCGTGAGCCACTGCACCCAGACCAGAGCCAACATTTTAATACGTCATTTCCTAAACATTTTTCTGCCAAAAATAGAAAAGTAATTCAGCCATCTTTAGAGAGTGAAATTCTACTTTAAAAAATTACTGACACCAAACCCACCTATCTCGCCGCAGTTTGACTGCCTTGACTTCTGTAGAAAATTCTATTTCAATAACAGTCTTCTTCTTCAAGTCATCCCAGATCATTACTGAAATATCAGAAAGAATGGATGAATGCAGTCAGAAACAGGCCATGGTGCTGGCATGCAGAGATGCCAGCTTGAGGCAGAAGATGGTTTCTCTTCCCACTGGGCACGGCTGCCCCCACCCCCAGGCCTCAGACACACACTCGCACCTGGGAGGCCGTGGGGTACAACTCAAACGGTGAGCTGTGCCAGAGATTCGCCCTCAGGCCCCATCCCCACCCACAGGGTCTCTCCTTCTTGGTATCTGGCTACCTACTTGCTCCCTCTGCCCATTCCTGGTCTCAGGCATCCACTGGCCTCACATACACAGGCCGGCTAAATGCATTCATCTCTCTGGCAAGCCTTGCCTGGTTACTTTCCTCTCTCCCTGCCCTTCCTTGGTCCCACCCGACCGAGCCCATGGGCAAGCCTGACCACAGGTACTGATGTTAAAGTGCTCAAGATAAACCTGCATCAGAAGAGAGGCTTCAGTTTTGGTGGTGGTTTTTTTTTTTTTTTGACAGGGTCTCACTCTGTCACCCATGATGGAGTGCAGTGGCACGATCTCAGCTCACTGCATCACTGCAACCTCTGCCTCCTGGGTTCAAGTGATTCTCCTGCCTCAGCCTCCCAAGCAGCTGGGACTACAAGCATGCACCACCATGCCCAGCTAATTTTTGTACTTTTAGTAGAGATGGGGTTTTACCATGTTGGCCGGTCTGGTATCGAACTCCTGACCTCGTGGTCCGCCTGCCTCAGCCTCCCAAAGTGCTGGGATTACAAGCATGAGCCACCGTGCCTGACCAAGAGGCTTCAGTTTTAAAGTGAAATCAGAGGGACACAAACCAGGACCAGCAAGGTCTTCACTCCACTCAACCTCCTGAGTTGTTCTTGCTCTTTCTTTGAGATAGGGTCCCATTCTCTTGCTCAGGCTGAGTCTGCAGTGGCGCAATTTTGGCTCACTGCAGCCTCGACCTCCCAGGCTCAAGAGATTCTCCCAGGTCAGCTTCCCAAATGGCTGGGACTATAGGCATACACTACCGGGCCCAGCTAATTTTTGTAATTTTGGTAGAGATGGGGTTTTGCCATGTTGCCCAGGCTGGTCTCGAACTTCTGGGCTGAAGTGATCCACCCGCCTCAACTTCCCAAAGTGCTAGGATTGCAGGCATGAGCCACTGCACCCAGCCCCTGCTCTATTTTAAGTTCAAAATTTCTTGTCTTGTTTGCCTGCTAACATTGCAACATTCTGTTAGGATGAATTAGCAGTTTGTGTTCTAAGGGCTAATTTACAGATAAGCTTTAAGGATGAGAATGCCAATCAGCACTGTGCTTTTGAAGAACCACAGGAGGGACGGGTGCAGTGGCTCACGCCTGTAATCCCAGCGCTTTGGGAAGCTGAGGTGTGAGACTGCTTGAGGCCAAGAGTTCAAGACCAGCCTGGGCAACACAGTGAGACCCAGTGTGTTGGGAGGGGGGAGGTTATTAAAAATTAGTCACAGCTGGGCGCGGTGGCTCACACCTGTAATCCCAGCACTTTGGGAGGCCAAGGTGGGAAGATCATGAGGTCAAGAGTTTGAGACCAGCCTGGACAACATGGTGAAACCCCGTCTCTACTAAAAATACAAAACTTAGCTGGGCATGGTGGTAGGTACCTATAATCCCAGCTACTCAGGAGGCTGAGGCAGGAGAATCACTAGAACCTGGAAGGTAGAGGTTGCTGTGAGCCGAAACTGCGCCACTGCACTCCAGCATGGGCAAGAAGAGCAAAACTCCACCTCAACAACAACAACAAAAATTAGTCACAGCTACTCAGGTTGAGTCCAGGAGTTTGAGTCTGCAGTGAGCTATGATCACCCCACACTGCACTCCAATCTGGGCAACAGGAGACCCTGTCTCAAAAAAGCACACAAATAACACTGCCAGGCGTGGTGGCTCGCACCTGTAATCCCAGCACTTTGGGAGGCAGAGGCAGATCACTGGAGCTCGAGTCTGAGACCAGCGTGGACGCCATGCTGAAATGCTTCCCTACTACCAATACAAAAATCAGCCGGGTGTGGTGGGCGTTCTTGTAGTCCCAGCTACTTGGGAGGCTGAGGCAGAAGATCACCCGAGCCTGGGAGGTCAAAGCCGCAGTGAGCCAGGATTGTGCAACTGCATTCCAGCCTGGGCAATACAGTGAGACCCTGCCTCAAAAAAACTTAAAAAAATAAAGCTTACTAGTTTAAAAAAAGTACCTTATATGGTACAAAAAGTTCACTTACTCAGAAACTGCTGAATACTGTTTTATTCTAAGTCTGTAAAACTTCTAAGCCTTTTTCACCTCTCAGAAACTTTATAATGAGAATGAGACCTGAGATTATCTTATACAAATGGCTCCCTTGTTAGTACCTGGGGTGCCTCAGCAGTGCCAGATGTAGAAAAGAGAGGCAGCCCTGTAGGCCTCCTAACTTCCACCTGTAAGCTTCCTTTCTTCCTGAATGGTTGATCACGTTCTCCATGACAAGACACAGACCAATTCACCAGAAGGACTTCTGCCCATCCCCAATTAGCCAGGGCAAAGTCAATCTTCTTCAACGCCTGCCCCTCTCTCTCTGAAACCTCCACTGTTCGTTCTGGGCGGGCTCCTCCAGAGGATTCACAAGCCACAAGCCTCTCCCCCTCTGGGCTGTGCTGGCAGCCACTGACAACTCTGCTTTAAACCTGGCACAGACAAACCTTGGGCCCGTGAGACTACAGAACTGCTCAAAGGAAAAGATCTAAAGCTCTGTCTTCCACTGTTTTTCCTGCCAATCATCTCTTTCCATTTCATTTCTCTGCTCCTAATTCCAAAACAAAAGTCAATGTTGTCAGGCAGGGCCGGCCCTCACGTGAGTGTGGCGTCTCTTCCTCACATTCATGTTCATGCAGTTCACAGGGCTCTGCTGAGAACTGTGCCCTGGGCCTGAGAGCCTGTCACGAGTCATCTAGAATTCTGCCTTCCCATACAACCTGGCCTAGGCTATTCTATCCCCAAGTACACGGTCTCGCCCAGATCCTCGCTCACCTGCACACTTCCCACTTGGCATGCAGCACCCCCAGCCCCATATCCTGGTCTTGATTCTGAACTGTCTCCTTCCCTCCCCACATCTGCTCCCAGCCCACCCATCCACCCACCACTAGGCTCCCACTCAGCTGTCCTCTGAGACCACCGGTGGCCTTCAATGTCACCAGAACCAAACGGCTTTTCTCAGTCCTCCTCCTGCCGCGTGGCACTGGGCTCGGACGAGGACGCTCGCTCCACTTCTCCCGCCTCTCCCCATAAACAGGGGCCTCCCACGCCTGCCCCGTCCTCTGATTGTCTCTTCACTCACCTCCTGCACTGCCTCTAGAACTTTCCCAAAACACAGATCTGGCAGCATCTCCTTCCTGGCGTTGAGCCTCCCCCAGATCCGCCTCCGCCTCCCGCCCCAGCCGACCTCCCACCTCTTCCCCAGGCTCTGCCCTCCATTCCTGGATCTTTCGCCTCACGCCCTCTTCCCTCTAGCAACAGCGAGGTTAAGCTGGCACAAGGCACACGGCTCTCTGGAAAACCGTCTACTCCTCCCTCTGCTTTACAAGGACCAGACTCTTACGCCGCGTCATCTGCACACACACATGCACACAGCCCCACCCCGACAAAAATATCCCGAAACCCAGAGACAAAACTGGCTTTTTGTTCTATGTGGCTATGAAACTTATGTTCCTTTAAGTCAACGGGTCTCAGTAAAAAAATAAAGAAATCCTTCTACCTTGCTTTAAAATGAATTCATGACATCTATGGTGTCAACCTAAGGTGCAGCAGGCTCCCTGGTTTCTGTTTACTAGCCCTGACTGAAAGCACGTGTTCAGTCAATGAACAGCTGACTGAACAATGGGAGTGAGGGATGCTCTCCACATGCTCCTCCTGGGAATAGAGACCTGGCGGCCTTTCGGCTGGCCTCCTGCCCAGTGACCAGTCCTTGATGCTTCAGAGAACCACCAGGGAAAATCACACAAAGCCACAAACATAAACACATTCAAGAAAAGACTAGGATACATGAGGCACGATTCTTAAATGAACAGTTACAGTACCTTTGTTGGGAGGGTATTTCGGCTTTTTCCCACCACCAACTAAAGCTAAATAGTTGCAGCGAAATAACATTTCGACATGGCCAACTCCTCCTTCTAGAAATTCTGAAATGATAGTTTTAAAAAGACAAATGTTACAAGTTAATATGTATATTTTACAATAGAAAAGAAAAGAGAAAGTCAAGACAACCAACACTCAGCAATTTTCTTTCTTTTTTGTAAGAGGTAAGGTCTCACTGTGTTGCCCAGGCTGGAGTGCAGCAGTTGTTCACAGGCACAATCACAGCTCACTGCAGCCTTGGACTCCTGGGCTCGCATGATCCTCCTGCCTCGGCCTCCCAAGCAGCTGGGACTACAGGACTCATTTTTAATCAGCCATTTATGGCCAGGCGCAGTGGCTCACACCTGTAATCCCAGCACTTTGGGAGGCTGAGGTGGGCAGATCACGAGGTCAGGAGTTCAAGACCAGACTGGTCAACATGGTAAAACTCCGTCTCTACTAAAAAATACAAAAATTAGCTGGGCATGGTGGCTTGTACCTATAATCCCAGCTACTTGGGAGGCTGAGGCAGGAGAATTGCTGAACCGGGACCTGGAAGGCAGAGGTTGCAGTGAGCCGAGATCACGCCACTGCACTCCAGTCTGGGCTACAGAGCGAGTCTCCATCTCAAAAAAAAAAAAAAAAAAAAAATCAGCAATTTATATCTAACTATCATCAGAAATGAGAACAGTGACTGACTAAGAAAAAAACAGTGAGTGCTAGATTTCCAGCTTCTCTGTTTACTGTCATCATGTCCACTGTTTCATGAAGGCTGAACATACACATACAACACCCTAAAAAGCTAACTTAGCCAAATGTATAAGATACTTAAATCCACATTTTAAGAAGCGGCAACACCTGTAAACTCTGAGAAAGCACACTAAAAGCTTTTAATGTTTAGGGGGCCGAGGCAGAAGGATCAGGAGGTCAAGAGATTGAGACCATTCTAGCCAACATAGTGAAACCCCATCTCTACTAAAAACACAAAGATCAGCTAGGTATGGTGGCATGCCTGTAATTCCAGCTACTTGGGAGGCTGAGGCAGGAGAAACACTTAAACCCAGGAGGTGGAGGTTGCAATGAGCTGAGATCATGTCACTGCCTTCCTGCCTGGCAACAGAGCAAGACTTTGTCTTAAAAAAAAAACCTTTAATGCAAAAGCTCAGTGCTTTTTATCATTAGCTTTTTTTTTTAGAACCAGGTTCTTGGTCTGTTGCTCAGGCGGGAGTGCAGTGATCATAGCTCACTGCAGCCACAAACTCCTGGGCTCAAGGACTTCATGCCTCAGCCTCCTGAGTAGCTGGCAATATAGGCACACATCACCATGCTCACTTAATTTTTTCAGAAAAATGTAGAGGCGAGGTCATACTGTATTGCCCAGGCTGGTCTTGAACTCCTGGTCTCAGGTGATCCTGCTACCTCAGCCTCCCAAATTGCTGGGATTACAGGTGTGAGCCACCAGAGTCTGAAACGCTCCAAACTGTTCATAAATTATGTAAGAGGAAAATGCCCACAGATTTTCAGAGTCTTTCATGACAAAAGGATGACCGGTGCTCACTGAGGGGAGCACCATAGAACACTGATGAGAAACTCCCACCTTCTGTACACCCGTGTCACTCAGGAGGAGGCCCACCAGCTGTCTGTAATGACAGGACCGCTATCTCTCCAGTCACAGCTGCAGAAAATGACTCAGATGTGCCTCAGCTCCATCTCTGAGATATTTAAAATTTTAGGCAGCCAGGCACAGTGGCTCACACCTGTAATCCCAGCACTTTTGCAGGGAAGACTGCTTGAGCACAAGAGTTCAAGGCCACCCTGGGCAACATAGGGAAATCCCTTCTCTAACAAAAATAAAAATAAAAATATTAGCCAGGAGTGGTGGTACATGCCTGTAGTCCCAGCTACTAAGGAAGCTGAAGCAGAAAGATCCCTCAAGCCCAGAAGGTTGAGCTGCAGTGAGCCAGGACTGCATCTTGTACTATAGTCCGGGTGACAGAGCAAGACCCTGTCCCCCCACACCCCCCAAGAGAAAAAAAAATCCGTATTATCCACAATGAAAACAACTTCTTACAGACACTTACACATAGGCCATCTCAAAGTAATTCTGGCTTTAACAGGACGTGGCTATAGTATAAACCACAATGATTACCATGGCACAGGGAGGCCATGCCCCCCCCCCAAGGTCACAGCTCCTTCACCCTCTTGGCACAGGACACCAATCCCCAGCAACTGAGGCTACTCTTGTTCCAAAAACTCACTCCCCATGCAACAGAAAGCATAACTACCAGTTAACACCTGGTTTCTAACTTGAACAATCCTGAAGAGATGGATGGATTGCAATGGGCCAGAGCTGAGAGGGAAGAACTGCTAATCACCTTCCATCAAACAAATGCTGACCACTCAAGGGAGGAACAGAATTTCCTCAACAAGTGCCTCCAGGGAAACTGGCTGTCCACAAACAAAAGATTGAAGCTGCGTCCTTATCTCCCACCATATGCAAAAATTAATTCAAAATGGATGAAACACCGAAAAGACAGATCCTAAACTACAGAACTTCTAGAAAACAGCTAGGCATAGTGGCTCATGCCTGTAATCCCAGTATTTTGGGAGGCCAAAGCAAGCAGATCATTTGAGGACAGGAGTTTGAGACCAACCTGGTCAACGCAGTGAAACCTCATCTCTACTAAAAATACAAAAATTAGCTGGACTTGGTAGTAGGTGCCTGTAATCCCAGCTACATAGGAGGCTGAGGCAGGAGAATCGCTGAGCCTGGGGGGCAGAGGTTGCAGTGAGCAGAGATCACGCCAACTGCACTAAAGCCTGGGCGACAGAGTAAGACTCCATCTCAAACAGAAAAAAAAAAAAATCAAAGTAAAACAAGCATCACGGCAATGTGCTTTTGAAACCTACATCCAATTTTAAAACTTTTGTGCACCAAAGGACACAATCAACAGAGTGAAAATGCAACCTATGGAATGGCAGAGTGTATCTGCAAATCACACATCTAGTAAGCAGGTAATATCCAAAATATGTGAAGGACTTTTACAACTCAACAATAAAAAAACTAATAACCTGATTTTACAATTGCCAAAGGATTTCTTTCTCAAAGATGATTTACAAATGGACGAGAAGTACAAGAAAAGACACTAAACATCATTAGTCCTCAGAGAAATCCAAATCAGAACCACAACGAGATCCCACCTCATACCCATCGGGATGACTTTTTTCCTTTGAGACAGGGTTGCCCATGTTGGAGCAGTGATGGGAGCATGGCTCACTACACAGAATAGCTAATATTTTTTTAACCCAGAAAATAACAAGCATTGGCCAAGATGTGCAGATACGGGAGCTGTTATGCACTGTCTGATACAGCTGCTCCAGAAAAAAGTATGGCAGGTCCTCAAAAAACTAAAAAGAGGCTGGGCACAGTAGTTGATACCTATAATCCCAGCACTCTGGGAGGCCAAGGTAGGACAATGACTTGTCCTACCTTGAGGCCAGGAGCTCAAGACCAGCCTGGGCAAGATAGTGAGATGCTGCCTCAATTAAAAAATAAAAAAAAGATCAGACACGATGGCTCACGCCTGTAATCCCAGGACTTTGGGAGGTGAGGCGGGTGGATCACTTGAGGTCAGGAGTTGGAAACCAGCTTAGCCAACATGGTGAAACCTTGTCTCTACTAAAATTTCAAAAAAAATTAGGTGGGTGTGGTGGTGAATGTCTGTAATCCTAGTTACTTGGGAGGCTGAGGCAGGAGAATCACTTGAACCCAGGAGGTAGAGGTTGCAGTGAGCCAAGATCGCGCCACTGCACTCCAGCCTGGGTGACAAAAGCAAAACTCTGTCTCAAAAAAAATAAAATATGCATCATTACTATAAACCAACACAGAAAAGCAAAAAGTAGAAAACACTGCGAAACAACATCATGTACGTACTTTATTTTTTGAGACAGGGTCTTGCTCTGTCACCCAGGCTGGAGTGCAGTGGCACGATCTTCATCTGACTTCCTGGCTCAAGCAATCCTCCCACCTCAGCCTCCTGAGTAGATGGGTGGACAGGTGTGAGCCACTCCTCCCGGCCATGTATGATCTAAACTTTGTGCATAAACACTGTTCCCATGATACCACCTATGCTATTCTCTAAGTTATTTTTCCTTTAACGATGTCCATGTCAGGATTCACAGGCTGGTCTCAGCATTCTCCCTGCGTTAGTGCACCACCTTAAAGATGTGCCATACCCACCACAATCGATACTTTCATGACAGTCATTCAGGTTCCCCCATTTGTCACTCTTGGAAAGTGTTGCAAGTAACACCAGTGTAGCAGCATCAAGCAGTGTATCTACAAGGAACACATCTTGCCAAATTACTCCACAACAAGGCTCTACCAATTTAACCTTCCACCACCAGGTCATGAAACTTCCCCTTTACAGTTCTTCCCAAAGCTACACACCACCTCTGTATCCTTCTCAAGTGCAGTGATCCCCACCCCTGCCCCCACCCCTCACCCCCACCCCCACTGCCCTGCAGGCCTCCCGTTTCTCTGACACCTTCACCTGGCATGCTGGGTGAGTACACTGAGCATGGGGCTCACGGGACCTGCTGTGAACTGGTGTGCTGAGGCCCTGGGCTGTATGTGTCAGATCGGGTTGGCTGTGGGCTGCTGGCGTCAGGAACTGTACAGATGCTCAGTGTGTCCCATGAAGGCACCTGCCAGTCTCACTCCTCACTCTATCTCCAGCCTCGAGTGAAGCACTCAACGCCCAGCAGGTGCCTGACAACAACCCACTTGCCATCTACGGGCACAGGATGAGCAGCCTTCACCTGCGGCTCAACCTCAAGACATGCGGCATCCCCTCTAGATCTCTGAGTCCTCTTTACTTCTCCCTGTGTGGCTGCCAACGTCACCATGCGTGAGTGCTGGTCACCCAGAGAAATGCAGGCCGCACTGAAAACGGCGGAACGCCTCAGAACACCTCTGCCCAGCCTGCAGACCGGGCAAGCTCACCGGGCTGGACCTAAGTTCCACAAGTTCTACTCAGCTCTGTGATGTGGGAGAGCTGTGTTTTTTAAGTGACAAGCGCAGCTGACTTTTCAC